GCGCGCGTGCGGAGGCAGCGAGGGGAGAGACGACCAAAGCGCTTCCCTCTCGGCGTTCCTCGGAAAGAAGGAAGCCCGCCGAGTCCCAGGGCAACGGCCGGAACAAGGGGCGCAGCCTCAGCCAGGCAGGCAGGCAGGCAGGCAGGCGCGGGGACACTACCGGCTCCTCCAGCGAAGAGTTTGCCCGCCCTGAGAAGTTTTCGTGGCGCTTTTTGCGGGCGGCGGCGGGAGGTCCTGCCGCGGCTACTTACTCACTCACTCTCCCTCCGCTGCGGCTCCTTGCAGTTAGCGCGAAAGCGGGCTTCTTCGGCCCCTCACTCGCGAGAGCCGCTACTGGGCCCTTGAGGCACTTCGGCCTCCCTCTCGCTCTTCGCTCTCCCCCTCGGGCCCTCAAGGGGCGGGAGGAGGAGTTGGCGCCGACGGGGTGGAGCTTCCGACACGTTGAGTTTGCAACGTGGTTCTCCCGCGGAGAGAGAGAGAGAGAGAGAGAGAGAGATGGCCCAGCCCTTCCCTGCAGCGCATCGGCCGATCTGCGACGGGGCGGGGCTGTTTGGCTTTTCTTTTCTTTTTTCCCCCCTTTTTGTCTGCTGGTCCAACAAGAAATCGGTAAAAGGAGAACTCAACTGGACTCGGGCCGAATTCGAGGCAGTGGTTAGAATGAGATCCGCTTTCGGTTCAGGTCCCCTTTTCCCCGGGCGAAGAGGGGGAGGCACCCGCCTCCGCTTGGCCCACGGGTCCCTTGGGGTGTCCATAATGCCCGCGCAAATATGCCAATTTGGCTTTAAGAATGCGCCAGACACTAAGAGCTGGTAAAATACAATGAAGTGCACAAAGCTAAAATGCCTTGGTGACATTAAGAGAAAGGGAAAAAATTCAACTTGTTACAGTTGCACATGCGGAGGAGACTTCACTCGCTGAATATTGTACTGTATCTGGAAAGACTTCTTAACTGTTAGAGCAGTACAACAATGGAACCAATTCAATTACCTGCGGAGGTGGTGAGAGCTCAGGCATTGGAGGCATTTAAGAGAAAATTGGACAACCATCTGGCAGATGGCCTTCATGAAGCTCACAAAGGCCTTTGATTTGGTTAGCAGGGTTGGCCTTTTTAAAATACTTCCCAAGATTGGATGTCCACCTCGACTCCTTAGCATCATTAGGTCCTTTCATGAGGAAATGAAGGGGACTGCAGTTTTTGATGGCTCAACATCAGATCCCTTTGACATCTGAAGGGGGGTAAAACAAGTTTGTGTCCTCGCACTGCCCCTGTTTGGGTTCTTTTTTGATGTCATGCTAAAGCACGCCTTTCGAACTGCAACAGAAGCTGTCTATCTCTGGACTAGATCAGATGGAAAGCTCTTTAATCTCTCTAGATTGAAAACAAAGACCAAAGTCCAACTGAAATGCATGCGGGACTTCCTCTTCGCTGATGATGCAGCCGTTGTTGCCCACTCTGCTGAAGACCTCCAACAACTCATGAATCGTTTTAGCAAGGCCTGCCAAGACTTTGGACTAACAGCCCGAAGAAAACACAAGTCATGGGCCAGGGCACGGACTCACCTCCCTCTATAACCATCTCCATGCAAGAATTGGAGGTTGTCCATGATTTCGTGGACCTTGGCTCACCGAGCTCTGACACTCTCTCCCTAGATGTCAAGCTGGATAAAAGCATTGACAAAGCAGCTAACATGTTCTCTAGACCAGAGGCCCGGTGCTGGTCATGTTCAGCTTTTTCAGTATTTCCTCATAGGGCTTCGTTTCCAGTCCCCTGATCATCCTCAGGGGAGTAGAAACCATAGAGAAAACGCCTTGCATGTGGGAGAAGAGGGAGCAGAGTTAAAGTCAGAATTAGCCCCAGAATAGGCCTGCAGGGGAAAAAACGGAGTGGGAGAGAAAAGAAACAGAAGAGAAAGGGGAATTGCTGCACATTCTAGAAGGGGGGGGGAAGACTCATGACAGCTGAGAGGAAGACTGGGTCACTGGATGGGTCCATGGGTGGACCTCCAGTGTTTAACCCTCCTTTGCAGATTCTTTACCAGCAGAATTCTATGCCACAATGATAGTTACTTTACCTTTGCTACATTCATAGACATGTGAACCACTAGGTGCTCAGAGGCAGCCACTTCCCTCAGGCAGCAGATTTTGCAGTACCAGTATATTTTTGCAGTCTATCCAAGGCATGGATCCACATCAATTTTAATGTATGACCATCTCCAAATTATTGCCCATCTCCATTTCCTCAGTCGTGGCACTGGTGTGAGAGTTTGGGCTGTAAACTTCTTTGAAGTGGCATATTCTCTCCCCACTTGTGCTCTGCAGGGAGCTGTCCATGGAGTGTTGATGATAAAGATGAGGCTTGCCAGGTCTGAGAATGAGCTGCAGTGCCAGGAAGTGGCTGTGCTTCCCTGAATCTCCAGGCCAGGCAGACAAATGTCAGGAGCAAAGGTGTAAGGGATGAGTCTCGTTTATTGTTAAGGGGTGGTCATAGTGTTTGGGTACACAACTCCAACCCTTTCTGAATGGCACCAGGGCTCACTTGGCTTCCTGCATGTCTTGGACACATAATATATTTAGGAAGTCGTATAGGGGACCAATGGTGCCTCTCCCACTCCTTTACGCCTGCAGACACATTACATTCCCACTGTCGAAGAGGCTCCTGCCTCTTGTGACATCACAAGGCCCCACATCATTACCTCACAGATGAGGGGATGGGGAAGATGCTCCAGTGAAACCCCCTGACAAACGAGACAACACTCCCAAACCATTCCAGAAAAATACTTTTATTGGTTTTTGAAAAGAGGCTAAATGGGTATCCCGGTCCTCAGCGGAGACAACGGCCTGGTTCAGCTCCAGCAGGACGCCTGCCTTCTGGTCCCTCGCATCACCCTGGGGAAGAGGAAGCTTCTGGCCCTGCAAGAGAGAGAAAAACAACAACTAAGGGGTGAGCTCATCCACTGCTGTCAACCAGCTTCAACCCAGGCATATCCACTGACCAATGTTCTGGCAACTTCATCCCGAAGTTCCGCCTGCCAACATCCACTGGCTTCCACCAGGAATATCCACCCATTCATCTCTTCCACTCC